GCGCTCGATTTTTTGCCGTACACCCATAATGTAACTGGTAAATAGAATGATGATAGATTTGGAGACGAATTCTTTATTGTTACATTATCATCCTCTGCGTTGCGACGATCTACAGAGGTGTCCGATCTGGGTGCTAAATGTACAGGTCTTATATAATGTTCTGGGGACTCTGACGAGCTGTCTACAGATCCCCTTTGAGAAAACCCTTCCGATCCTTCCTTGAAGAGCCCTCTCCCGCCTTCCTTGATGAACTGGATCCATTCGTCCTCAGGCACCTGAGCCTTGAGAGGATCGCGGCGAAATCTTTGTCCGACTCGGATGCATCAGACTCACTTTCTGAGTGGATGCTGCAGTCGCTAATATGCGCAGCTGTCTCCTTACCCTTCCCCTTAGTCTTAGAAGAAGGGCTCTTGTGCTTCTTGATGTCAGGACCACTGTCCGTGTCCATTTCGCTATCAGATGAAGCAGAATCTGATGCTACTTGTCGCGTCTTGGACGACTTGGATTTGCTCCTGGCATCATCCTTCTTCTTCGCATCCTTCTTCTTTGCAGCTGTTTCCTTCTCCTTCTCAATCTGCCTCTTGACATGGTCCAATTTGAAACAATCGGTGCAATACTTGCCGAAACGTTTTGACGATTTGAAGAACGTTGGCTTGTTCTTTTTGCAGTTGGCGCAAACCAACTTGTCATCTTGCACGCTTCACGCTTTGCCCGATTTACTCTTCCCCTTTTTCCCGACTGCATCAACCTCCATAGCATTCGGGTCCTTGGTTTCGGCCTTGGCATGGTGGCCTTCTCGTTGTAGTGATGTAAATATCTGGAGTGCGAATGTAAGGAATTCGGTCCATTTCTTGGGCCAGTTGTCCTTAGTCGTGTCTGCCAGCATGAGCAGCCACGTTTTCTCCGGAATATGTTTCTTGATTTTTTCGATCAAGTCTTGATCCGAGAAACCTGTACCGGTTGCCTTTGGACGGAAGTCCTCTGCGAACTTTCGGAAGTCTCGATGATCCTTCTTGATGAAGGCTTCTAACTCCGTTCGCTTCTTGTCGTCCTTGTCCAATGATTCATATGCCGTGCGAAGTTCGGCAACGAACTCCACCCAAGTTCCTGGTGCCTTGTTGTTTTCATTTATTGCAGTGATCCAATGTCGCATGTATTCACGTGCTCCTCCTTTCAGGAGCAAGAGGGTAGACATAATTTTGGACTCGTCCTTGGTATGTCCAGTATATTTCAACCAGAGCATGACTTGTTCGAGCCAATCATCGAGATTGACTCCGTCCTTATTGCCACCATATTTTTCTGGTTGGTCAATTTTTACGCCTTTACCCTTGCGACCAAACGACAGCTCATCGTCATCGTCCGTGTCATCGACATTGTTACCACCTTGCCCTGCTTTCCGTCCCTGCGTAGATGCCCATGCGCGAAGTCGATCATGTGATTTTTTTAAATCTTCCATCCTGGTTTGGAGATCCTTGACCTCATCGTCAAATGCCATAAACGCTTCATTAGTGGCCTTGTTTTCCTCAAGTAAGGCTGACGAGGTTTTCTCCAAGTCTGCGATTCGAGACTCAGATTGTTGACGATGTTGGTCTAAGAAGACCATTCGATTGTGAAATTCCATGGTGTTACGTTCCATTGTATGCGCTTGGCGCTGAATAAGATTTTCGTAATGCGCCACCGTTTGTTGACGCATTTCTTCCACCACGTTCGTGACGAGATCGACTACTCAATTTTTCACATTTTCGGGTATGTTCGCATTTGGGGGCGCCGTGTCAGCAAGGGCTTGACGAATGATAGGATTCGGGGGTTGCAAAACAATATTAAGACGTGTGGGAAGCTCCAGAGATGGAGCACGAGAGAAGCTTGGATCATTTGGGGTGGGAGTCGTCATCTTTACAATTCCTCCTCTATTTCACGAAGATGTTCTTCGAACTCGACGATATGTCTATTGGCGATAGTAGCCTGTCGGGCAATTACTCGTCTGGAGCGTTGGTTTCGCAGCAAACAAAGGTCTCGATGAATGACCTTGACGAAGGGTTGCCACAAAAACCTGGTCTTGTCCCTGACTGCGGGCCACTGATGGTTGTGATGAATCTCGCAAATAGGCTCGACTTCTTCGAGCCAATCGACGAAGCTATTGTAAGCTTCGGTGAGACGGTCCTCGGGTTCTTCGGATTCAATAGGAATATAGCAAATATGAACCGCGACGTTCCTCCAATCAAATTCTGGATAGAGTTGGAGGGCGTATATGTGATATACGTCGTGGTAATCGATGTCGAACGTGTCCTCGTATGTAGCAAATGCTTCGCCTGCTCTGTCTCGAAGAACACGTGAAATTGAATCCCAAAGATAATCAAAGGTGTGACCGATTGGATTTAATTGCTGGAAGTTATCGAGATTGTTTGAATCGCCAGATGAAGACATATACAAAGTAACTATTCGTATCTACAGCAAAGGTCGCCCTGTGACCTGGATTCCTAGACGATACTTCTGGATAATATCTCGGATTATCCAGCGAGCTTCTCCGCCCTGATGCTTCCTTTCCTGGACGTAGTTGCAGAAGTCGCAAACCACGTGTTGGTGAATGAACGAAAGCTTGAATTCCGCTATGTCAGTGCGGATGGATTCGAGCTTGAGTATAAGATGCTCGAGATCGCGGATGTCATGGTCGTCAAGCTGACGACGATATCGTTTAGTAAGTAGGATACGAATTTGTCGAAGAGTGCCTTCGACGCGCTGAGTCGAGATGATGGAGACGGCGAGAGGATAGATGAAATGAGACCCAGTAGCGGTCTCGACGTATGTCCCTTGATTGAGATCTGGACCAGATGGTCCTGC